AATATAAAAATATGCTTTCAGGGAGCTTGGGTAGTACAGTCGGTTGAGCATCCAACCCCTTGTTTCAGCTTAGGCTGTTATCTCAGAGTCATGAGATCAAGCCCTGTGTCTGGCTCCATGCAGAGGCAGCTTAAGACTCTCTCTCCTTCTCCCTCTGCCCCTCCCCACTCACTCACGCCCACCTGTGCCATATATATTTAAACAAACACTGTGCCTATGGTGTGACTTTGGTCACATCGTTTTTTACTGTTCTGTATTTAATCTATTTCAACTCTTCTGTATCTCTGTATTTCCAGAGCCAGAGGGAAACCCAAGAGATTAGGCATAGTCAGGGCTGTGGCCAAGCCAACTCTTTTTGGACAAAGCAGAATTACAAGGAAATGGATTTACATATCCATGAACTTGACCTTCTCCTAAACCTTACTCAGGTCTAACTCATATTATGGCTGCAGAAAAGTCCTAGCACTTCAGAGCCACAGTGTCACTATCAGAAGGACAATTACCTATCTCTATTTACTCCCAAGAAACAAAGAGAGGATGAATTCACTAATAATTTTTAAATTACTTTAAGGAAGAAAAAAAAGCTGACACTCATGATTAATAGTTGCACACCAGTGGTTTCACTGCTTTCGTACCCATCAGGGAACCATCACCTGCTGACCGTTGATTTTTCGTTTCTCCAGTAACCACCTGTACTGTCACTTCCTCAGACCCTAAGAGAGTTCACAGGCTGCTGTGGAAACAAGACCACACCTTGGCTGGACTGTGGATGAGCAGCTGTCTTAGCCAAGTTTCCCCTAAAAATTGAGAGGGACTTTGGGAAAAAACAATTTCACTTTCTGATCAAATATGATCTTTTATTTTTTTAATTAAAAGATTTTACTTGAGTGAGAGAGAGATAGCATGTGCACGAGCGGGGTGTGGGCAGAGGGAGCAGCAGACTCCCCGCCAAGCAGGGAGCCTACAGGACTCTATCCCAGGACCCCGAGAACATGACCTGAGCCAAGGGAAACACTTAACCGACTGAGCCACCCAGGTGCCCCATGTTTGTTTGTTTGTTTTATATTTTATTTATTTATTTGACAGAGAGAGAGAGAGAGAGAGCGATCACAAGTAGGCAGAGGCAGGCAGAGAGAGAAGGGGGAGGCAGGCTCCCTGCTCAGCAGGGAGCCCAATGTGGGACTCGATCTGAGATCACGACCTGAGCCAAAGTCAGAGGCTTAACCCATTGAGCCACCCAGGCACCCCGGATATGATCTTTTAATTGCTTTCTTGTTACTGCAATTTTTTTAAAGACTTTATTTATTTATTTGACATACAGAGATCACAAGCAGGCAGAGAGGCAGGCAGAGAGAGAGGGGGGAGGCAGGCTCCCGGCTGAGCAGGGAGCCGGATGTGGGACTGGATCCCGGGACCCTGAGATCATGACCTGGGCTGAAGGCAGAGGCTTTAACCCACTGAGTCACCCAAGCGCCCCTTGTTTCTGCAATTTTTAAAGCACAGTAATTTACTAAAGATTTAAATCCCACGTGTCTAAAAACAATCATTGTATTTGCTGCAATTGTTTTTAATGGCTTATTTATTGCCTCCACTCTCTGGAGTTTTAACTGGAGTGAGGAGATTGAGGGGGAGACCTCACCTTATCTCTGATTAACTACCTTCCAAGGGGGGTTGAGAGGTGCCCAAATATGTCCTTAACAGAACCAACCTGCCAAAGAGCACTCCAGCTATTCATGAATAAAAGCTGGAGTGCAAGCCAGAGAAGTGCAATTTAAGTTTCACTTTAGCTGCATTAAGTTTTCAAATTTTGCACACTGTGGTAAAATTTACAAGGTCCTCAGTTTAAAAATAAGATCTGAAGTTCCTTCTAAGACTAAGGGAAATGAAATTCACACTATCCATTTTGAATCTACCTTCTTTTGCACAGTTCCTGATAAACTGCTTTGCAACTTACCAGGTGATGCTAGTCAGTCCTGCATCCCACCTGCTCGGGTAGATCTCTGAACCACGGAAAAAGTCCCAGGTCTCCACTAAGCAAAGGCATTAAATCAAGTCCATGAGGAAGGTAAAGGAGGAAGAGTGTTCATCAAAGAAATGCTTTGTTCGGGGCACCTGGGTGGCTCAGTTTGTTAAGTGTCTGCCTTCAGCTCAGGTCATGATCCTGGAGTCCCTGCTCAGTGGGGAGCCTGCTTCTCCCACTGACCCTCCCCCCTCTTGTGTTTTCTCTCAAATAAATCAATAAAATCTTTAAAAATAAAAAAAATAAAATCTTTCTTTAAAAAAAAAATGCTTTGTTCACAGTTCAAAATGTAGCGTATCCACCTTTCCTCAGAGTAAGAGTCCCTTTCCCTCCACATTCCTTTTCTTTGAGAGTAGGTAAATGTAAATTTTACCAAAATAAACACAGGATTCCAATGCAACATGTGCCCAGGGCCTGTTAGAAATTGAGATGACCCTCTGGTGACACCTGAGGTCCCAGGAATTAAAGTCACAAGTCCTGGCCTCCACCCTCAACCCAACTCCCCAGGATCCCATCAGTTGTCATGACATTGTCAGGGACAGTTGTTGCTAGAACTGCTGACTGAGGAAACTATCTGCCACTCTAGAAAGTGAATGCTCTGATAAGAGATTCTGCATTCAGGCCTAAACCCCAAAATCAAAGCCAGGGATACGTGGAAAGAACAGGAACCTGAGATAACAGAGGAAGTCTTCTGAGAAGAGACCACCTATGTACAGCAGGCGCAGGGGGAAAGACCCAGCTTCAGTAAAGTCTGCAGGAGCAAATAATCATCTGTCGCTCCTCTTACCATATAAATATACTCAACAATTTTATAGCAAGATTCCAGATTGATCCCAAGAACTCACGATGGATTATTTTATTACTGAAGTAATGAAAAGCATCCCTTACAGAGGAGTTTGCCTTTAGGTTAGGAGCAGTGGGGAGCATTCAAGACTGGGCTCTGGGGAAGCCCTTTGTTCAGGAAATCCCACCCCTCAGGCAAAGCTTTACTTTCATTTCAATTTCAAGTCCTCAAATCAAATTTTGAAAGCGTCCCCCCTTAAAGAACTACAGAATCAATAAGCAGGTCCTTTGCATTCCAAGGAATGTGTCGGGTCCTCAGAACTATCCAATTACAGGGCTTTTCTTCCCAGATATAGTCACTTTTCTTTTTTTAAAAGAGTATCATACATGCGCCCTATTGTGTGTCTACCATTTCAAATATCTTCCAAATACATCCCCATTCTGAATCTCCAGAGTCTTCTAAGAATCTAGAAGGAACTAACGAAAGCAATTTGAGTAAGAACAAAACGACTGAACAATTTAATTACCAAAGGTAGCCCTAGAGACTCCAACAAAAGGGTTGAAAGCCTTTATCCACAAAAACGTGGCCATGTGCTCAACTGTGGGACCAATTATGGGAAGTGCAGAAGAAAGTAGCACACAGGTGCACACGCCAATTTAAGCAAATGGGGAATCAGCCGAAGTCCTCTTCGGAGAAAGGA